AAAAAAAAAAAAAAAAAGAAGAAGCACTATATAAAGATCAAAAACATTGTCTTCATCTCCAATCTAATACTCATATATCTAACACAAACACCACCACACGGTCCACACCCACGATAACATAAAAAAAAATAAAAATAAATAATAATAATAATAATAATAAACATTTACCGATAATAAAAATAATAATAATCAAAATACAAATAATAATAATCACAAAAAAAAAACAAAAAAAATGCTCGGCGTGAAATCTTACCACCACCATTATCTCCTCCCGCCAAAATCGCAACCGCCGCCCCCGTCGCCCTACTCCGCCACCCCAACCACCACCAACAAGCACACCGCCTCCCCCCGCGCCGCCATATCCATCTCCACGGCCGCCCCCACCACTACCCCCGCCGGCAACATCCCGGCGCCGCCCGACGAGGCCGTGTTGGCCCTCTCCGACTACCGCTCCCTCTTCTCCTCCCAACGCGCCGAGACCTCTGCCCCCGTCCCCCTCCGCCACGTCATCAGCGGCGGCACCGCCGCCGCATCCCTCCTCCCGGCCGACTTTCCGCTGGGGACATACTACCTCGCGGGGCCTGGCATGTTCGAAGACGACCACGGCTCCACCGTCCACCCTCTCGACGGCCACGGCTACCTCAGAGCCTTCACATTCCTTTGTGGGGCCCACGGGCAAGTGGTGGTGGAGTTTGCAGCCCGGTACGTGGAGACGGAGTCTCGGGCGGCCGAGCGGGACCCGGCCACCGGCGAGTGGCGGTTCACGCACCGCGGCCCGTTCTCGGTGCTCAGGGGCGGCGGTGGAGGGAATTTGATGGCCGGGAACACGAAGGTGATGAAGAACGTGGCGAACACGAGCGTGGTCAGGTGGGGTGGACGGCTGCTTTGCCTGTGGGAGGGCGGGGACCCTTACGAGGTCGAGGAGGGGACGTTAACCACTGTCGGGAATTTTCCGGAGGCCGGAGGCGGCCGGAGTGCGGCGGCACAATGTGACGGTGGTGGAGAAGCGTTGACTGGGGTTGACTTGTTGGACGTGGCTGCTAATATGCTCAAGCCCATATTGTATGGTATGTTGTATACAGTTCTGGTCACGCAGTGGGCAGTGCCCACCACTTTATATTCTCAGAATACGTTTTTCATGTAAAATAAAGTGGTGGACACTGTCCACCGTGGGCAGGGGATCAAAATTTATGTTGTATATATTACTTAATTAGTTGTATTGCATGCAGAATATTAGTTGCTAGTAATAAAAATAGTTTATATTATTATAAGAAAATTATATATAAATATAGATATTATAGTAAAAAATAATCTAACGATTAGACGGGTAGACTTGTTATAGATGAAATTATGCATGTTTGATTTTGAGGGCCGACCTATCATATATATAAGTATATAACCTAATGATTCGATCATTATATTTGAAATTATGCATATTTTTATACGGATCGATCTGTCATATTTTTATAATTTAATGTTTAAACGAGATGGTGTTATACACGAAACTATGTATATTTGATGACATGCGTCGATCTATCACATATGATATTATGCATATATTTTTTGCAGGTGTTTTCAAGATGCCACCAAAGAGAGTTTTATCCCATTACAAGATTGATGCACTTAGAAACAGACTGTTGATCATGTCATGCAACGCAGAGGACATGTTACTCCCTCGCAGTAATTTCACTTTTTACGGTGGGTAGCTAAACTTAGTTCGATGATGATAGACGATGAATTGACGTGACTTTAATTAATCATATTCGTACATATTTATCGTCCCGATTTTCGTCATTTGCATCACATGTAATTAATTACCGCTTATCATCAAAACCTTCATCGTTATTTTTGAATTTGTGTGCATGTTAGATTACGGCCATAAAGCTTAATATGACTTCGCTCGATTATTCGATTATAACCTCGATTTTTCCTTCTTTTTTTTTTT